AAAATAAACTACAATTTATTTATATGTACTTTAATTCACAGTTCTCATCTCTAATTATATGTCGTGATTTATAGATACAAAGATTACACATAGTTTGTTACAAAAACACCTCATTGGTGAATCAAATACAAGAAATTAAACTTTTCTTTAACATCAATATTCAAAAGTTTCAAAATTTCATTATTGAGAAATGCCAAAAAACTATTCGAAAAAGATGCTGAGTTGGATTTGAGAAAATACAAACCCAATCTACTTCACTCAAGTCACTTTGCTTCAAATGTATTGAGTCTTTAGGATACTGATTTGAAAATTTAATATATTTATTTTGATTAGTTATTTTTCATGGTAAAATGAATGTTCTCAATCCTTCAGATAATTAAACAAGCCAATCACAACACAGCATAAATTTATTAATTGAACATATTAAAAAAATTATATTACAAAGAAAAAACATTTATAAATTAAACAATAGGAAAATTGCTGATACTGCGAAAAGCTATCAGATATTTACAAATAAGCTTCTATATTTTAGTTAGGAAGGTTCGAATTACAGTATATATTTTATCATTCTCAATATTATGAATATATTTCGTAATCTCATGCAAAATAATTAAATAAAGTTATGAATTTAACGTCTACTTTACAAAAAATAAATACAGGATAAATATCATAAATTCTATTGGCAAGAAAACCAATCTAAATCCAATATATTGAAACTATTTAATATGGTGCAAACTCATCATGATCTGGATGTCTGAACCTACACTTCCAGTTATTATTTTAGAAACAAATCTTTTAGTCATACTATTATATTCCAATTAGATTGGCCAACTCCAAAAGTTTTATGCACAATTGGCTCATAAGGATCAGTATACAAATATAAATGCTTCAACTTATTGATCCTATAAAAATTTGATAAAAATCAGTTCGAACTTCTATGTACCAGCTGGAGAAAGCCAAAATATACTTACCACAAGATTATTGAACATATTATAAACTTAGCAATTAATATAACAATAAGAATATTTTGGCAAGTAATCTATTTCACAAGAATTTTTTTTGCAGATTTAACATTGCAAACAATATATGGTGTTAATTTCTCTTGAACTGTCATTTTCAATATCTTTAAATCACAAAAAAATCACATCATATACTTTATATATTTTTGGATTACATACAATTGAATAACAGATCTGCATTTATAAATTGATATTAGATATTAATTATGTATTAATTATTAACTTTATCATAGAATAGTACTGTATGTCATACAGCATTCGAAGTTACAATATAAAATAGGTAATACGAATAACTGCGGCTAAGATAGCATAAATTTAGTCAATTAATTATCTCCTTATCTCTTTATTTGAACAAGTTTATTTATGATAAAAATAATCGAACAAAGCTTTTTGAAATAGATTGTTTTGTTTAATCAGGTTTGTAAAATCATTTCAGACTCTAGGATTGAATTAAAAATGTCTAATGCTTAAGGTATCAATGCGCTAAGTGCATGTCTACAAAAATTGGTTGTAATAGACTTTAAGTTGATAGATTTCTTAGTAATGCGTTTATTAATGCCATTGATAGATTTCGTAGTAATGTATTTATTAATGCCGTTGATAGATATTAATGCTGTTGATAGATTTTGTAATAATGCATTTATTAATGCCGTTGATAGATTTCGTAGTAATGCGTTTATTAATACCGTTGATAGATTTCATAGTAATGCATTTATTAATGTAAATAATTATATCAGATATAGTTTCATATAAATTTGTTTTGCGATTAACTAATGATATTTTTGCAATTTCTTGGGATGATCTACAAAAATCAGCCAATTACAATAAAAGCCCGCTATCTGTCTAGTATAACTATTTATAACTTTTAAGCTTTATGGAATATTCGATTTTTTAAATAAGACAAAAAGAACAACAAAATCAAAATAATCTCATCACAAAATCAATAAAATTGCACTTTGTCAATTACTTTATAGCATTGCAACCACAATGACAATAATTTTTATTTTAGATAAAATAATACCTAATATCAATTATTTCAAGTACCAAACTAATTTATCATATATAACAATATACCTGTGATAAATTTCCGATATAAATCTGCTAAATTTGCAATATTTGTCTTAGAAACTTCTTGTATCTAAAAAACAAATCAAATTATAGAATTTCATTTTTGAAATAAAATATTAATGTATTTGATAATTTGCTCTTACTTTGATTACAATAATTAGTAAAGCAACTAAACATATCACTAAAATAGATTCAGATACCATGCCATACAGAGCGTGTTGAATTGTTAAGATGGCTATAGGCAAAAAAATTATTAGGGTTGTGTCGCTCAAATTTAATAACTTAAGAATAAAAATTAAGCAGCAGCATTTAGTAGTTAGTATTAATTAAGTCTTCACATAAATCTGATCGATCTATCTTATTAAGGTAAACGTGATTTTAATTACCAAATACAATATACATCAAAAATCTAACTTACTTTCACTAGAATGTACATCAATATTTATAATATTTGTAATGAATTCTACACAATTTTCTTCTGATAGCTGATTAAGATTTCGTAAAATATTGACCAATGCTAGACGTTCATCCAGCTCAGTAGACCAACATTTTTTGTAAAGGTCGGCATAAGCTTGGGGTGTTCCAGTGATAGTTTTTTCTCTTTTATTGTTTAAAATTAAAAAAAGAATGGAGAGTTTATTAAATTGATCAAATAGACTAACTCTACTTGTAAGTTCCCACAACAATATACCAATGCTATATATATCAGATTTTTTATCTTTGAATTTTTTCTGAGGCTCGAGAAGATCTTGTGGTTCAATATATGCATATTGAAAAGATTCTGGTCCATCATCTGGATAAGTTAATATGGAACTATTCAATTGTCTGACAAACAAAAATCTGTAATCAAAGCAAAATTGTTATGTATCAAAACATTCATAGGATGCTAAAAATTTAGTGTAAAAAAATATTTAAATAAATTAGGTTTTATCCAGAAATTATACTAAATATAAAAATAGACTAACTAGATCCTTATGAACTA